ACTAATTGATTTTCTAATGTTCAATCAACTTTGCATTCCTACAACAAATCCCAGTTGGGTTTTTATATTTGATTTTTATATATTTGATTTTCTTATATTTTGTTAAGCATTTTTCAGTCTATGATCATAAGGGATATTGGTCTAGTGTTCCTTTTGTAATAATTTTGCTTTTGGTATTGGGGCAATTCTGGTTTCATAAAATTAGTCAGGAAACATTCCTTCCTCATCTATTTTCTGAAAGAATTTGAGCAAGTGTTATTTCTTTGAGTATTATTTCTTCCTTAGAGTAGAATTCACCAGTCAAGGAAGTTTTACAATTATAGATTTATTTATAAATTAAACACTCCCTGGACAAAATGATCACTATATCCCAGAATGCTATAGAAGGGCCCAGTATATAAATTACTTCTTAATTTTGAAATTTACAAATTCCAAAAAACAAGGAGGTTTAAAATATTCATGAAGGCCATAGATTACCCACAATTATGAAAAATACCGTAGCACGTTGTTCATTCGTGTCCTAAATTTAATATTTGTAAGAGTTAGTAAGTTAGATAATACGTGCATATGCTGGAAAGGTTTTTTTCCTTATGTGCCTGGTGCCTATAAAACTGGTTTCAAACATCTGGAAAGACTGGGTTTACAAAATAAAGATGGAATAAAAGTGAGTCCACAATGAACTAACACGTTCAGAAATTGGGTAATCAGTTCACAAACTTGAATTTCCCTGATGTATTGTTGAACAAACTGCCTAGAGCACATTTTCACTTCAAGTTTCTCAATGTTTTCCATAACTGAGAAGCTCATATGGTCTTTTTTTCCCCCTGCCTCCTGGGGAAAGAAACTTGGCAACTGTACTTGGGGTATTTTAATCAGGTAAGTTTTCCTGGCTCTTCCTGTTAATCACCTCAGACAGCGCAGCGCAGCTTTCGCTTGCAATATGAAACAGAGTGTTACATTCAAGATAAAGTTCATGACCCTTTATTAGTCCTTTCCCATGCCATCTCTCCACTGAACGTGAGCTTCTTTGGCAAGAAACGTGCTCTGAGCCCCAGAGCTAACAAATAGAGACACATCATTTCCTTTGCTAATAAAGCAGGCAGGGCTAAGGTCGCCGCCATCATCATTCAGGGTGCAAACAACCGTGGCTGGGTTTATTCACCAGGGAGAAGGCAGGAGGGGAAGGTTCTCACAAACCTAGCAGGCTTAACCAGATCTTTAATGCCATAGAAGTTCAAGACCACATCTGGAGTTTAATATCAAAATAGCTGGCTGGGGACTTTGAGTATTTCAGGTTTTACTCTATCTGCCTGTGGAGAGGATGGAAGTTAAAAAATATCAGCTTTCTTCTTTCCCTTTGCTCCCCTCAGGGATATTAACTGACCACTCTTTAGTAGTCTCCTTTGTTTCTTATTTAAAAATCTAGATGTAAATACAGAGAATGGAACCAAACACTAATTTATAAATGGACTATAATCCAAATTCAAACCAGCAGCCAGTACCCTCGACAAGCCCTGAAAGATGACCTGCAGCTCACACAGTCCTAGGAACTGGAGGAAGCCCACTGCAGGGAGGAGAACTGTCTTTTCCTTAAGCTACAGAAGTTCTCTTTCTCCTTTCCTGTCTCCCTCTTTTTGCCACACAAAGGGAAATTATTAAGAGGGGATATACAAAGTTAAAAAAAATATATCAAGTTTCCATTTTTACATGAGACACCACTTAAAAACTCTAGCAGAATATACTGGAAGTGTTACACAGCTGTAAGAAGGAAGGAAAAGAGCTGCTGTCAGACAGACATGAGTTTAAATGCTGGTCCTACCACTTCAAGTTCTGTGATGTTAGTCAAGTCACTTAAACTCTTTGAGCCTCAGTTTCCTCATATGTGAAAATGCAGGTTAAAATAACAACGAAAGGGAATTGCTGCAAGGATTAAATATTATAAGTAAAACAATAAGCATGGAAGCTCTGCTGTATTGGAAGTGCGTGTCCTATACCTGTCTTGTTTGACAGGCTCTAGTAACTAGTTGTAAATTTCCAATTGCTAAGCATTCCCCTGTGGATCTTCATGGAAAAAGATGTCCATCTTAGTACATGATCCTTGTACACAAACCTTACATAAAGAACAGTATTTCAAATTTTTATGTTTTGGGTCAAGAGGCAAAGCCTGTAATGTGGAATTGTTTATGTGTTTTTTTACGAAGAGGCCTTTTTGAGGATGAAGCATCTGAGATCTTATTATTTCTGTTTTTCCTCCATTTACAAAATTTTTTGGTTGTGTTTTTAAACCTTCCATTATTTCAAGATTTACAAGCTGTAGTTCATTAAGAGAAGAATTTGATATAAAGAAACTGCCAAGCCTCTAGAGATTACATGCATCTTTTACTGTGTGAAATTTAATCTGAATTACTTTATGTTTTGCCTTACTATCGTCTAAAATTAAAGAAGGAAAATTTTGAAGCCTAGGGTTTTAGAAATCTGGCAAATGTAAAGGCTGATAATACAGATGCTTTGAAAATGGAAGTGCAGAACTTCCAAAAGTTAGGCAATGTTGAGAAGTAAAGGAGACTGGGTCATAAGCTCAGATAATGATGCAATAAATGGTTAGGGGTTTGGTTCACAAAGGGGAAGGGATGGGAAAGAGCAGCTCTTGCTCCCAGCTGCAGACAGTAAGCAAACAAATGCTGACACACTGACACTATTTTTGAATCTGGGTTTCTGGGTTTTGCTTTAAGATGACTATTCTTATACAGCTAATGGTAGAATTCTAGATAATGAGTTAATTGCATTTTCAACTTGTATTGACAAAAATTAAAATGACTTGTAATTATTCTTTATTATTTTAGTTTTGAAAAATGTTTATGGCCTACTTTGTCACCCACAAAAGGATTGCTGTCTCACGCCAAACTCAGCATCAGGCAAAGTCTTTAATGGGACTGGTTTGATAAAACCTTGGAACCACACAACCCTCAGATCCACGCTGGAGCTCCAAGTGTGGCCAGCTATGATTTTGTAGACCCCTCAAACGTGAAAGGCAATCAATGAGGTTCTCTCCTTTCCCATCATAAACTTACACTTCTTGGAAGCACCACTTTCTTGGTCCCAGAAGAACTGTCACAGTTGGCTAAACCATCTGTGACCCAAATAGGCACAGCTTATCAGCGTGTTGTTCTGGTTCCCACACTTATTAATCCTGAAACTACTTGGATGACCCAAAACTACTTGGAAACTACTTGGAGACATGATGCTAAGTTTGTATAGTAGTTCTAACCTGTCAAAACACATTCACACACACTGCCTCACTTCCTCCTCTCAAAAATCAAATGCCTGCTATCTAAAACTCACCTCTTCATCGCCCAAGCCTGCTGCTCCAGCCCATGTTCCCTGTCTCCAGGACGTCACCACTACACATCCTGTGAGTCGGGCAGGAACTCAGATGTCATCCTTGACTCCTCCTTCTCCTTGACCACCAGCCAACCAGCAGATGTGGCTACTTCCTTCTGGTTCCATCTCCCACACTCGGGCTACCATGATCTCTTGTGTAGATCATGGCAACAGCCTCCATGGACCTGGCCTTAGCTCCTCCAATATATTCTCCACACTAGAGCACTACCCTGCTTAAAACTCCACGCACACTCCATTACCATTAGGAAAAGACCAAACCGTCTGGACCCTTGTCAGCATTCCTTAGCAACCTAAAGCCTTCCCCAGCATCCTATACACTGAACTCCTCAGAACTTCCTAACCATGACAAACTTTTCCACATATCCAAGCCTCTGTTATGCTGCTACTCTGACTTATCCTTCAGGACTCCGCTAAGAGGTCATTTCCCCCAGGACGACAACACAATATCCATCTGTGCTGTGCATCCCCGGGAAACCCAGGGTTCACTTCCACTGTCATGACTGCCTAGCTTGTCATATGCCCTCTTCAGACGCAGAGCAAAGTGAAGGAAAGGACAATGTCTTGTTTATAAGTAGCCAGAGCTTAGCACTAGTGTGCAACATACGCTTCTTGGTAGGTGCTCAATAAATGCTTCTGGAATCAAGGAACAGGTTTCACGTAATTTTACAAATGAGAAATCTGAAGCAGAAAGCAGTTGAGTGACTTGCCTGAAGTCACAGAACTAGTTCAAAGAAGAACTGAGACTAAGGCCACGCCTTGTGATCTCCGCCCTGTGGGAGACAGGCACCAGATTTCACTGGCTGCAGTTCCAAAGACTGAACAATCCAGTGCAAGCGAGGAACGGTACTGACCGGAAGGGAATCTGAATGACAGCTTCCCCCAGGACCAGCACCGCATAAGCAATACATTCAGTGGGCCTTTAAGCTGCTACATTCTCAGACAAAGGCCCACCCTTTCTACCAGCCATAAGCCTGACCTCGAAGGCCCATAGGTCATACCTTTTTCCTCTGTCACGTGGTGAAGTAACTTCTCAAGTTCAGGAAGTTTCAGCAGCAAAATGCAATTCGGAAAGACATCATCTACCACAACTTGATCTAGGGGTTGAAACTTTCCCTGGGGGGGAAAACACTTTAGTTATTCAAAAAGCAAGCATTCCAGTTAACCAACTCACACAGTTGGTGAAATTTAATCTGAAAAAGAAGACAAAAAGTTCCATTTCTGCATGGCTGGGCCTTTAAACCTTAGCTCAGAGCCACTTGTTCCATCTAAAGAACCCTACATGGGGCTAGGCTCTAGGACTGACCCTCAGCTCCCTCCAGGGAGACTCTGTGAGCGCTGGGGCTCCAAGTGGCACACCATCTCCCTCAGGCATAGTCACCAGATGAAACAAGGAACAAAGACTAGAAAAGCACTGGAAGCCACAGAAACTTGCAAAGATGACAGAGATGGCCGAGGGCTGGTGCAACCCATTCAGTCTGCAGAAGAACCAGCTGAGGTCACAGAGCAGGCGTCCTGACCCTCACACAGAAGCCCAGACCAGGCCCAGGCACACATCTGCCTCCTGTCCTCACTCCAGGGCTGAAGAAAGAAGCAGCCACCACACAAAGAGAAATACCCAAAGTGAACCTACTCCTGCAGAGCTGCCTGACAGTGCTTCCCAGCGTAGACCAGAATACAAGAGTAGACAGCTAGAGGGCTCAATCCCAAGAAACTGCAGACAGGGCTGAATCAGGTCAGCGACCTAAGTATATAAGGCCTGGTTACCAGCAGGCCAGAAATGCGGACTGTAAGACTTCAGAACACTGTTTATTCTTCACAATTGGGTTTACTTTTTCTTAGCTTTACCAGTAGCAGGGAGAGGTGAATTTTGTCTAAATTAAGATATTAATTAATTAAGATACGCCCCCAGTTTGGGTGCAGGGCCTTGCCCATGCCCTACTTGTAGCTCAGCTCACTCTGCTTCTCTGTTTCTGTGACAACTCCTTCTGAAGGGACAACAAACTGCACCTGGCCAGTTGTCTTTCTGCAAATGCAGCTTTCTTGGGTTTTAAGGCTGAAATCTTCTCATTCGTTTGGAAGCATGTGTAACAGCTTGTCATACTTTGTTAGGTTAACAAGTGCCAAGAAACGTCTCTATTTAAATGTTCTCTTTTTCTTTCAAATAGTAAGAATAATGCACAGATCGCCCAAGTCTTATTGTCTTTAGATTGCCATGTACTTGCAGTTAAAAAAAATGCCAGTTTCATTCAAGAATATCCTTTAACGAGTAATAAAAGCAATTAACTGTACTTAACTAAATCGTGATCCCTGAGTGCAAGTTGTGTGAACATTCTGTGATAAAAGTGGGGTACGGCTAAAGCACTTCTGCTGTATCCTGCAACCAAGACACGCTCGTGCGGTGGTCTGAGATGCGAGCAGAACTAGCCGCCTTTTTGTGGATATCATTTTTACCTGAAAAACCCACTATGAATGATGGTTATTCAGACTCGGGTACTGGGCAGAACGTAAATGAAGTGAGTCTGTCATTTCAAGGAAAAGACTGACAGTATTTGTGGCCAATGACAAAATTTGAGCTTTCAAGCAAAAATTAGAATTGTAGAAAATTTGTATATGCCACTATGACAGCTTCCCGATACTTGCAGAGCTTTCTTATGGGATCAGTGATGATATTAACAAAAGTGTGTGTGTGTGTGTGTGTGTGTGTGTGTGTGTGTACATGTGTGTATAAAATGAGATGTGTCAACATCTGGAAGATCTGCATAACTCAGTGAACCAATTTTTCCAAATGACCAAGGCATGCTGTTACAAAATTGTATGTGGGTAAAAAGATACATTTTTAGTACAAGATAGACCAACGGATTTTAATGTAATAGAGCACTGACGAAGTTTCAGATTCCATATCACTTTAAGAACTACCTCTTGTTGCTTTTGAAGTAGTATCAATGAAGAATATCCACAACTATCTGAAGAGGCTATTATACTGTTCTTTTTTCTGACTACATATATGTATGAGGTCACATATTTTTCATATACTTCTATCAAAACAATATATGGAACTAGAGTGAATGCAGAATCAGATATGAGAATCTAGTTGTGTTCTCTAACCAAACATTAAAGAGATCTGCAAAAATGTAAGATGATGCCACATGCCTCATTAAATTTTGTTGTTTGTATCATTAAAAATGTGTTACTTATGTTAACATGTAATGGCCTCACTATTTTTAATTGTAGCTAAACGAAATTATTTTTAAATTTCTCAGTTTTAATTTCTAACAGTAAATATTCATAGACAGGACCCACAGAAACATAGCTCTTTGGAACCTTTAATAATTTTAAGTGTAAATATATGCAGAAAACAAAATGTTTCAGAACTTCTGGCTGAAACTATTACTATTAGTAAACTCTGTCTTTATTTATATGACAAAGGTAAATTTTATCCATCTGGGATTCCTTAAGTCTCACTAGCACTTCCCCATTAAGGAGCTTTCTACTTGACATGCCCCAGTTTACCAATTCCACAGCCTGTCAGAGAGAAGATAAATCTTTCCTCTCCTAAGGCCTGTGGTCAATATTTCAACATTTGCTTTGGATTTCAAATCTAACGAGTACTTAATGATAAAAGTTTTCAGCGTTGGGCTTTGTCAACCAGTAGGCACATGGCACAGTGACTTAGGCAATCCAGAAGTTACAGGCAAGCTAGAGCCAGACTGGATGGAGACTAAGATACTACTTCTCAGGCCGTGTGGCAATGCTCTGGCCCGCACTGGCAAATGCCACACACATTTTCACAATCACCATGTTAAATCTGAAGTGCGGAGACTCTACATTTGGACCGTTAGAAGGAGAGAGAGGAGAAGCAGCAAAACCAGCTCATTCTGCTTCCTCACTGTACATGCCCCAAACTGGGAAACCCACCTCCTTATCAGCTTTCACGAGGTAGTGGAGAAGCAGAAACAGAGGGTCCATGGGTGTGGCAAAGTGGAGAAGACCTCCTGCAGATTAAAAGGACAAACAGAATTCAGTGTCTTGGAAAGACAATTTGGTTATTTCATCTTAATCTCAACATGAAAACCATTTGTTGAAACATATATGTGAAATCCCAAACTCAGAAGCTCTTCTTACACAGGCCTGAGATCCTACGTGACTCTCTCAAAAGGTAGAATGTGCTCCACGAAATTTTACTCCAAAGAGCTTCACATTCTTGTGTGGAGACGAGAGCCAAGACGCTGAAATTGATCTTTAGCTTTCCATTTATTTTTTAGAAATCATTGTTAACAAAGCTTCCCCAGCCCTGAAAAAAGCAAGGATTAAGGGAAAGCACAGACAGATTGGGGACCCGGCAAACATTAGGAAACTTGGAGAGTCGGTCTGTCTATAAAGCTGCAGAGAAACATAACTTCCTATGCTTGTGAGGAAGAAGCCGGCATCACTCTCTCCGTACACAGTTCCTTCTCGGTCTGTGGGCAGAGGGATGCGGAATGCCCCAAACATACACCGACTGTCCCCCATCCCAATAAGCCCCAGAACATGAGCCAGAACAGGGGCTCTAGGCATCCTTTTCTCCTCTGAGTCAGCGCTGCCTCCAAATTAAAGGAACACTAAAAGAAACAGAACTTTGGTGGTGGTAAAGTGTGTGTGTGTGTGTGTGTGTGTGTGTGTGTGTGTGTGCGCGCGCGCGCACAGTAATTTACATGACAGAGCTTTTTTAAAACTTTGTTTTATTCCAGTCTATTTTAGAAGCTGTATCAGTATCCAGTTTCAAGGAAATAAGATGTTAAAAACTTGAAGACCCTCAAAACAAAGAGTTTCCAGGTTAACATAATGTGCACTCCTTGCTGCAAAGGTGATCTAACTTCTGACTATGGATGTGTCAGTGTTTTAGGAGACAAATCAGAGTTGTTAGTTTAAAATTTCCTACCATCTAAGACACATAGGGAATGACCTAAACTTAGTGCTCAAATTATCTTTCCTTTCTCCTGGATTAAAGCTGCTCTGATGCCAAGGAAGGCTGAACCACTGACCATACTCCAAACCAGGTAGACAACAGACCCAACGGCCCCATATGTGAAGGAGAGAAAAGCTGGAGTAGATGTCTAGTTAATGCAAATACAGACACTAGTCACCTACCTGATTGAACCGATTGATTTATGAACCAAGAATGGTGTTTTTCCTTGAAAACTTTTATTTCAAACAGCTGTTGTAGACACATATCGAACAAGTAAATGGCTCCTTCCCCTGTTAAGACAAATCTGGGTTTTATTTGTTAAGTTTTCACACACACAAACACACATGCGCACACACACACACAAATCAAAAGACTATCCAATAGTTCTGAGGAATGTTCCTATTATGAACACAAACATATATAGATATATTCCATTACAAACTGACTCCAAGGAAAGCTTATACCTATTATACACAGATGCTTGTTTTCCAGCTCTATAATCCTCACTGAACTGAAACCAAAAAATTAAAAAGTGCAAGTCGTTTATCTTAACTACTACAAAGCCTCTCATTGAATTCTCCACCAAATCAGGAAGGAAAATCAACTCCTAAACTACCAAAACTTAATGGTTCAGCCAGATGGTCTGAGCTGGCACATGGGTCCCTGTCTCCATGGCAGTGTGTGGCTCCCCACACACAGGGACTAAGAGAGGCACCAAGCCCACGGACCCCACAGGCCAACCCTAAGTGAGAAAGGCATGGACAGGCTTCAAGCCATAGGGAGTGAGTAACACCCCACTCAACAGGATGAATGCTTCCCTTTCTTTCTCCAAAAAAAACAAGAACAAAAACAAAAAAACCAGGGGTAGGTGGGTAGAAGGGAGTGAAAACTGTGCACATCTGCATGTTTTATCCTTTCAACTCATGAAAAATTTTTTTTTTTTTCTAAAAAAAGTATAGCATAGTCTCTGGCATCAAGGACCATCTCCACCACATGCTGGGCATGTGCCCTTGGGGAAGTTCCATAAACCCTTCTGTGTCTTTGTTTCCACATCTGTAAAATGGGGCAATACTAAAACTATCTCATAGGGTTTTTATAAGTAATAAAAAAAGAATACCTATAAATTTCCTAAAACAGTACTTGGAACACAGTGAGTACTCAGCAAATGTCAGCCTTTATTTTTCCTCTGCCAATGTAGCAAATAAAAACATGTTGTTTATGGGCATTTAGAGAAGACAAATTTTAGAAGACTGTCTTTCCTTTGTACCTGTATTTTTGTTAAATGCTTTAGAACCTTTACTGCTACCTAAAACTCTTGAAGAAATATTTCTCACCTCAACTTAGTCTTATGTGTAACTAACAATTCCAAATACTACTGATCAATTACATTCAATTTTATTTTGAGGAAGAGAACACTGGAGGAAGACAGAAATTTTTTTCCCCTCTCTTGTTGCTTTTACTTATGTGTCTCTCCAACAAGGCACTACCCACAGGCTCTCCCTGACTTTTACTATTCAGTATTACAGTCACCAGGAGAAAGTTCTAATTTGGTAAGTATCAGGTGTCTACTCAAACCTGACAAACAGATGAAAAAACCATTCCACACAGAGATAAATAACATCATCAATATCACTACATATTTAGAATATATAATATTTTTACCTAAAAAGTTAGAAGACTGAAAATGCACTGAATATAAAGTTAAAATTGTTTTCCAATAAAATATGAATCTCTTCAATATACAATGCTTTTAAATGAAATTATCCCTTGAAAGGGAAAAAATGTACTACTTTTTGATCAGAACAAAATAAGGAAAGTACAGCTAAAAATGAAACTAATCAAAATCTTGGCATGTCAAGTAAAATCCTTCTGTTTTGGGTTTTTTTTTATTCCAGTTGTTTAATTTACTTTATAACATAAAATGAATATAAATGGAGGCTAATGTTGGATAACCACTCTAAGAAAAGTTGGCTTAATAAAGTCAAAGAAAATTAATCTGTGTTCAGAGAGAAGTCAAATATGCTACTTTTTTTGGTTTCCTAGCATTTCTGATGACTGAACGATTCTGTGGATTAAAATTATAAGAAGAAATAAAAAAATGTTTAGGTCAAATGAATTATATGGGAAGACTAGTAACATCAGCGGCTTGCTTTTGTTACCTAATGATGCCACCTTAACTTTAAAAGCTATTAAGAAAGAATGAAGATACAAAGGCAAATAAACATATATGCTTGTCAGCATCAGCCACAGTATTTAAAAATATTCAAGCTATCACCAGAGAAGAGAAAACTTACCCGAACATGGGTTAACCAATTTCACAAACATAAGGCCACGCTTCATCTTCTTTGAAGCATCTTTTAAATATTCTGAAAAGAAATAGTGAATTTGTAAAATTAAAACATACTTTGTTGCTCACCTTACTCAGTTTACCACATTTTCATTTCTTCTACTCATGTGATTTCTCTTTCTAAAATTTTTAATTTATCACTTACAAGCTATGTGATCTTAGCCAATTGCTCATTTCTCTGTAAGTTGCAGTAGAATGTCAGGTAGTTTTAATTTATTTCTGTGAGAAATGAGGAGAAGCAGGGGTTCGGAGTCAGATGGCCTGTGTTATAATCTCTGCTCAACCGCTTGATAGCTTAGTCACTTTGGGCAAGGGTCCTAATCTCCTGTCTCAAATATCATTTATAAAATGATAATAATAGTATACTTGCTTTGCAAAGGATTAAATTAGCTAAGCTACTGAAAGCATTTAACATAATCAGGCGAACAGAAATGTAAAATAAATGAAAGCTATTATTACTAGTATTATTTTTAATTGTTACTACTATGAAGTAGAACATTTCCTTATTTTTTTTTTTTGTGAGACAGAGTCTGGCTCTGTTGCCTGGGCTAGAGTGCTGTGGCGTCAGCCTAGCTCACAGCAACCTCAAACTCCTGGGCTCAAG